AGTTATAGTAGTTCTGGCATCTAGGGGACCTTTCTTCCTTGATTCTCTTTATAAGATGGACTTCCGCCTTTCTGGTAGCCCCACTGCCCGTCTCATGGGCCAGAGTTGTGTCACATGCTCATTTCTGTGCCAATCATGATTCACTCCAGATTGTATTAGGAAGGATAAATGGCCATTATCAGGTGAGGAGTAGTATCCGCTACTGTGATATGCACTTTACAGTTAGTTGTTCAGTCTACCATTTTGTGCTATATATTCTGCTGAGGGAGCACAAGAAGAAAAGATCTGGGCCCTTAAGTTATAATTTTGAAAGAAGAATTTCTGAGATTGATGCGATAGTGGATATTTTCCTAGGGGTCTCCCCAGACCTACTCCTTAGTAGTCTGGATTCGTTTTACTGTATACTTTCATAGCACTGCCAATCCCAAATAAAAGTGGTTCATCTTCTTCCATACATGTTCCCTTCATTGTGCAACTCACAGCAGCGCAAGGGCCTTTTACCCCACTGCGTAGTTGACTTTTACTGCACATGGGCATGCGGAGGCCTCTTTGGCAGTCTTACCACCTGTGTCTGGCTCTTTCTTCAGAACAGCATGATCCTCTCAGCCGCCATCTTCATCACTCTCTTAGGCCTGCTTGGTTACCTCCACTTTGTGAAGATTGATCAGGAGACCCTGTTAATCATTGATTCTCTTGGCATCCAAATGACGTCATCCTACGCGTCAGGCAAAGAAAACACTACCTTCATAGAGATGGGCAAAGTCAAGGACATTGTCATTAACGAGGCTATTTACATGGTAAGTGTTTAAGGGGTGAGTATCACAGTCCTCTCTGAGGGGAAGTCTTTCGGTGGATTGTTCCCAGGGCTTTCTTCACTGAGCTACATCTCCAGCCCTTTTTTGTTTTATTTTGCGACAGTGTTTCACTAGGTTGTCCAGGCCAGGCTTGAACTTGTGATCCTCCAGCCTCAGCCTCCCAGAGTGCTGGGATTACAGGTGTGCACCACCACACCCAGTTTAAACTTGAGTCTTAATTCCTAAAGTATTTGATGTTGCAGAATTAAACTCAAGGACCCTCTATTCCAGTACTTGCAGCGTTTCCTTTAGTTGGCATGTATAAACCATAGAAGTGAGACTGACATTGAAAAGATAAGTCCCTTTACAGTCATGCTTCAGTTAGTGATGGGACTTGGTCTGGGAAATGCATTGTTAGTTTCCTCGCTGCTCAGACTTGACAGTGTACATACATAAGTGTAGTGGACAGGTCACTGAGCCATGGCCTTGTGATGCGGTCAGGAGACAGTCAATGGGAGATGTATGAGGCTGTTGCCAGATAACCTGGCGTCCTGCCTTACAGTGAACTTTTTTATAGTGGAGTTCCTCTTGGGAGCCACGTATACCATTAATAAAGACTGGCATGTTTGTATCTTTCCACGGTGTCAGATTTTATTGGATATCATTCACAAGCTGGGCATGGCTGTAATCTCAGCACTGTAATCCCAGCACTTGGAAAGCTGAATGAGGAGGAGCGCTGTGAGTTTGAGGCTGGCCTGGCCTACATAGTGAGTTCAAGTCTGGACTGAACTGCATAGCCAGACCCTGTCTCAAAAAGCTCACAAGCTTGTCAGCATCATTAGCTTCACTGTACTAGAGATTTCATTTGGAGTTGTGCCCATGGCAACTGTTAGGTGTTTTGTTTCATTCCAGTCTCTATTATTAATACCTAACCCTTAATGATCATAGCACTCAAATCACATATCACACAGAAAATGGTTGATATAGAGGAACTGTAACTTGCAACCTGCTAGATGTCCAAAACGCAGAGTTCGTGTTCTCCAAAGTCAAGGCATGAATTCTAGGAATGATGGAGGTTAAAAGTAGGAAGAGTTTATTGAGAGAAGCTTTGGTCTGAAAGGACAGAAAGGGACCCAGAAAGTGGGTTGCCCATCAACCCTGCTTCTCAAGGGTGTTTTATTGAGCAAAGCCAGGAGGTGAGATGGGTTCAGTGTGGGACAGAACTATAACCAATACGATTACAAGTATCGTCACTTAGGTAATACTGACCCAGTGGCACATCAGACGATGGGTGTGAGGTGGGACAAGACCATGGTGAACCAGTAAGGTTACAACAGGTATAGTCCTTGGGCTAATACTGATTAAATGGGGCTCAAGTGGGGAAACAAGCCAGGTAGCAAGCCCACAAGGGCAGACAAGGACTTCCCCAGAAGGTTTGGTCGTCTGCCCCCGGGTGCTTGATGCCTACTTAGAATATCAGTCACTGCAGTTCATCCTTAGGGGAAGTATATGGGTGAGTAGTTCTTTTTCTTTTTTCGTGTTTCTTTTGAAACAGGGTCTCCCTGTGCAATTCAGGCTGGCCCTGAGCTCACTTTGTAGCTCAGGCTAGTCTTAAACTCACAACAATCCCCCTGCCTCAGCCTCCCAGGAGTGCTGGGATTACAAGCGTGCACCACCAACCCCAGCTTCTTCTTTTTCTTGAAGTCTGGCCTTCAGTGAATGTGCCTCCAGCCGCGGTTGTCTTCTGCATTGACCTCTGCAGGGCCCAGTCCTGTCTGCCTGCCTGTAATGTTTCTACCTAACTTAGCGCCTGTAATATGGTAATGTATAGAAACAAGAGAACAAAGAGGCTATAGGACTTAAAGAGGCGTGGAGAGAGCAAAGGCAAAGAGTTGCTCACATGTGAGAGTCCCTGGAGGTGGTGAGGTATTGGTCAGTAACTCAGTAGTGCGGCTGTGGAAGGGAAGGGTCTGGATAGCCTGTGTCAGAGGGCAGGGAGGAACTGCCTGAGCTGAGGCCATTTGGTAGTTTGTGGCCCAGCAGTGCCCTGGGCAGAGGCCCTGAGGTGTACACAGGTCGGTGTGCCATGTTACACAGCTTAGGCCTCTCCGGTTGAGGTGGCTGCCTCATTTGTTAGTCTGATACATTGATAAGCTTGCTGGCCCAGTGTCTCTGATGTGATGCAGCAAGCCCTGTGTCTATGTGTCTCTGATTTAACTTAAGTTCACAGGTAGGTTTTGTTTTCTTTTTTTTTTTTTTTTCTAATACTAGGGATTGAACCCAAAGCCTTCACCCTGACCTACATTCCCAGCCCTTTTTAATTTTTATTCTTTTCAGACAGGGTCTCACCAAGAAACTAAGCTGCCCAGGTTAGGCTTGGACTTGAGCTCTGTCTGCCTCATCTTCCCAAAGTGCTGGGATTATAGGCATGTGTTACAATCAATATTTTTTTTAAAAATTTTTGATACAAGGTCTTACTAGTGTGTAGTCCTGGCTGGCTTTGAACTTGCTATGCAGCTCAGGCTGGCCTCCAATTTGCAATCCTCCTCCCATAGCCTCCCAAGTGCTGGGATTACATGCATGCACCATCACACCCAGGTAGTAATTTTTATTAGCATGAATCTGTACCTTACGGGCATGCCGCGCGTCCATTCCATCTTAGCGTTTGTACCCAAAATGGAGTAACTCAGGGCAAGCTGTGGCTGGAGAGCTGCTGCTCTGTATTCTAAGTCAACCATAATAAGTAATAGAGTCTGGTAAATAACAGACCAGTAACCATCGTTTATTATCAATGAGCATATATTCTACACATAATTAGATGACTGGTAGCACAGCAGTTTGTCTATACCAACATCACCACAAACGTGTAAGAAACACATTGCACTGTGACACTGTGATGTCATTAGGCAGTAAGGGTTTTGCTGTTCTGTTATCTTACAGGACCACTGTTGTATGCTGTCGACAAACATGTTATGCAGCGTGACTATTTTTAGAGAGACACAGTAGATTTTCATGGATAGGAAGCTAGGATTTCAAATTTTCTAGCCTGGCATCAAAATCATCTCTATTCTTTTCTTCCTTTTTTGTTTTTTTGTTTTTAAGAGACAGGGTCTCACTCTGTTACCCATGTTGGCCTCTAATGCCCAGGCTCAAGCAGTCCTCCTGCCTCAGCCTCCCGAGTAGCAGGGACTACAGGTACATGCTGATGTACATGCTCTTTTGGGGGGTGGTCAGATCATTTGATTGTGGGGCTTGGAAGAGGGGAGAGGGGGCTGAAGAGACACTGAAGGTGACAGTGAGATCTGATACCCTTGGCAGGGCCGGATCACTCTGGATTTGCCACTGTGGAAAAGGACCTTTTTAGTTTTTTGCTTTTTATAGAATTATACTTTTCCCTCACTTCAAAAGCTATCAAGTATTACAGTACTTAGAGACAAGGATTTATACAAGGTTTTTGAGTATTCCACTGAAGGCAACAGAGTATCAAATGAAACTGGGTGTGATGGTGCATGCCTGAAATCCAAGCACTCTGGGAGGCTGAGGCAGGGGATTCCAATTTGGAGCCCAGCCTGGGCAACTTGTAACTCAGCAAGACCCTGCCTAAAAATAAAATGTAAAAACAGGTGGAGATGTAGCTCAGTGCAGAGGTCCTGGGTTCAGTCCACACACAAAGAAGTTCCACTTAACTCTCTTCTTATTTGGTTTACTTTCTTACAGCAGAAGGTGATTTACTACCTCTGCATCTTACTGAAGGACCCACTGGAACCCCATAATATATCTCAAGTGGTGCCTGTCTTTCAGGTGAGACCGAACAGTTTTCCTCTCATTGAAATCCTGTCTTTTCCTCTTTCTGCATATCCAGCGCTACTTACATTCAGCAGGAACAGACTGTTCTCAGAATATCTGAAGATACCTGACAGCTAATTTTAGTGGCAATTAGGATTTTAGTTATTTCAGTCTATCTCCAAGGCAAAGATGGGCTTTTGAAAATATTAGGAGTTCAACTGGGTATGGCCATAGACACCCGTCATTTGCACATTCTGGGAGGCTAAAGCAGGAAAATTCAAAGTTCAAGCCTAATTTGGGCATCGTAGCAACTTAATGAGAGACCTTCTCTCAAAATTAAAAAAAGTAAGGGCCAAGGATATAGTTCAGTGCAGAAGCCCTGGGCTTAACCGAAGTACAGCCAATCATTAAAATTGTAAATTTTGGAGAAAAAAGTCAAACATTCAGCAACTTCTGCCTATAAATCACTGTTTCTCTACAAAGCACCATTCATCTACTTTGACTTTCTCAGTCTACCAATGTACAACTTTATGTAGAAGTTAATGAGGTACATATGCTATTACACATTATTTTGTGTTCTGCCTTTTTTTTTGGTACTGGGATTGACCCTAGGGCCTTAGCACTGAGCTAAATTCCTAGCCCTTTTTTTGTTTTTGATAAAGTCTTGCTAAATTGCTAGGCTACCCAGGGTGGGCTTGAACTTGTGATCTACCTGCCACTGTCTCTTAGAGCCCTGGGATTACAGGTGTGCACTACCATGTTTGGCTGTGTCTTCTTAAATCACTAATATGCATCTTTTTACAAAGCCATTATGCAGTGCTAGCTTTTTAAATTGTTCTAGTTTTAGTATATGTGCTGCCAAAGCAAACATTAGCTTTCTAAATCATATCCAGGTTATTTTTTGTTTTGCTCTTATAAAAACCATACAAGTCTGCTTATACTAAATGACTTCAGAACATTTAGTTGTGTTTTTTTTTTTTTTTTGGTTTGGGGAATTGAACTGAGGACCTTGCACCTGCCAGGCAGGCACTATACCACTGAGCTATATCCCTGGCCCACTAAATTACTTCATAGGTAATTATCTGTTATTTATGTGTCGTTAACCCTGCCATGCCACCTTTTCTTTTTCACAAGTTTTAAGACAGCTGAACTAAAAATAATTCTCTTGCATTACATTAAGGATTATTTTATTAAACCCTACAGTTTGATAGATTCTTTTAGTGTTTAAGACTGGACAGCTGGAATTTGTACTTGTTTTTCTATGCTATTTTCTATCTACATTCTATGCTATGTAGATAAAGGCATTCTATAATTGTTAAATTTATATCTCTGTAAATGAAAGGCTTTTCATATTTCCTTACAGATGTCAATCACCTCTCATTTCCTCTTAGTCTAAATTATCTCTTCTGTTAGTCAAGTGGAATCTAGATGTTGATGCACGTGTAACAATTCTCTGTATATTTTGCATAGCAAACTTTATTAAATATACTTTTCACATATAATTCTCCTATTCTGTGGCTTTTAATTTTGGTCGCAGTACATTTTGTAGTACAAAATATTTTTCAGAATTTATACACTAAGCTGCATGGTCTTGTCTCTGAGGTCCACTTTACAACTTGGAGCACCTCTTGTCAGTCCCCTTGTTACTTTTTGCTATCATGAAACTTAGAATACCAAGCTCTCTTGAGCTCCCTTTGCACAGTTCACAGGAGGGGCTGTGGGCTTAGGTGGGAGCCTCCCAGCAAGGTGCTCTGAGGCTTGAACTTCGTGCCTGAGCTCGTGCTCATTCTGTGTAGACCCGGAGCCGGGTGAGAGTGGGGGTGCATGTGGCTGCAGCACCAGTAAGCTCTCAGATTCACCTAACCCTGCATTTCTCCCCTTTGGAATTCAGAGTGCCAAGCCCCGGCTGGACTGCTTGATTGAAGTGTACAAGAGCTGCCAGGAAGTTCTGGCACATCAGAAAGCCACATCAACAAGGCCGTGAGTTCCTATTCAGAAGGCCTGTGCTGTCTTGCGGGGGAGATGGTACCTAGGCTCTAGTGGCTGGTTTGTTTCCACTGCAAACCACCAGGTGGACATAGTCCTAGACCAGAATGGATGCAGTGGATCGCAGATCACCACACAGCAGGTGACTGGAAATCTGACTCAAAATATTTCTGTATTGTAATGTTCCTCTTGAAGGTTTTTCTTATTTTGGGAACCAACAATCAAACCCAGGACCTCGTGCTTGCCAGGCAGGCACCATGCCACTGAGCTATATCCCCAGCCCCAAGGTTTTGCCTATTTTACTAAACAAGGAACCACCTTAAGAATTTTGATACCATCTATCAAAAGTAATCCCAGTCTTGCCAGGTGTGGTGGTGCTTGCCTGTAATCACAGCACTCAGGAGGCTGAGGCAGGAGGACTGCTAATAAGTTTGAGGCCAGCCTGAACTGCATAGTGAAATCCTGTCTCAAAAAGACCAAAAAAAAAAAAAAAAGTAACATCAGCTAAGAGCACTTTGTGAAATTCCTATTTACTTTGTATTGAACAAAGTAAATTCAAATTTACTTTGTATCAAAATTACATTGGGAGACCAATATCAAATGTTCAGAGAAAGATATAATTTCCATCAGCATAGTACCGATGTATAAAAGTTAAGGAAAAAAAGTCAAACTGTTCAGGTACAAGTTAGAAGGAATAAATGTTCTGAAAAGACCAGTCTGCCTGCTTAGCTCCTGTGTTCTGTGCAGGGTTGGTTAGCTCGTCATGACTCTGTCAATAAACAGAATTCATTCTAAAACACAATAATTGGTTCACAGACGGCTGCTTTTTATCGACAAATTTGGTTGTGGCGTTTCAGTCATGGGTATCAAGCACAATGATACTTTTTTTAACTCAGCATTTTCTGTTCTTTCAAGACACGTTGGCCCAGAGGAATGAGACAGAACATGAGACAGAAATTTGACCTAGGTTTACAGACATGGAACTGTCGTGTTAAAGGAGGATGTACAAGCAAACTATGGAAGCTTTTATTTGTAAGGCAGTTTCTTTTGTATAAAATTAATAAACTAAGACAAAGTCCTGAAAGGTCAGAAAGGAGAGACGGCGAAGGAAACAGTCTGACCCCAAAATTCAGTATGAACACAGCTCCATTCTTACTCCTTCTTTGGAACCCTGTTTCTAAAAACTTCCTAGGTAGACAATATATTTACTGGCCTAAGAGATGCTTGGGATACCAAACCAGAGCCACAGTCTCTGCCTTTTATCCCTGGAGCCAGTGGTACATGTGGTGTGTGTCTTGTTCGAGGTAGAAGTGTCCCAGCTAGACCCCAGATCCTGGAGGAAAGGCAGGAAGAGAATGGCTGTAAAGCTCCCCGCCTTGCAAAGTCAAGTTCACCTGGAAGAGGCCGGGGCTGGTGCCTCTTCGCGTGGTGCTCGTCGGGTGAGCGGGCGAGACAGCAGCCGAGGCGTTCGGATGCGCTAGTTCTAACCTTGCGGATTTTGCAGTGTGCAGCCCGCACACGTTGTTGGGGTTAAAGGCTTGGTTTTTGAGTGTTCCTGCTACACCCGCAGTTTTCAGCACTACATGAACTAACGGCAAGGCTGCCCTAGAGCTATGAACTAAAACTGTTTTCTTAGATGTTGGGAAATCAGAGCGTGAGCTCTTTCGTTTTTGTGTGGGGGGAAATATCACATCCCCCACACTCACTCAGACCTGAGTTGAGGGGCGTTATGATGTTCTCAAGCAGGCAAAGGGTGAAAGAACTTTCTACTTCTTTCATGTGGTACTCTTAGGCTGGGGCCGGTATCACACGCCCTGTGCACCCCGCTGATCCCCAGCAGGAGCTCCCCAGAGGCCTGGAGGAGCATGCCCGGCCCCTGAATGAGGTGGGGTGAGGTCGTTCTGTGTTCCTCACTCATCCTCACTGGCCTCACAGAGCAGCAGAGGGCATTTGCTTAGGCTTTGAGAGCCAGGAGACAGTGGGTCTGAATCTGTCCTTCAGCAGTGGAGCACAGCCTTCACCGAGGCCCGTCTGGGCATTAAGGTGAGACAGGCAGCGGTCGGACTGGACCTATCTGTGTCCGTGCCTGGACAGCGAGTGCTTCTGGGGTCAGCTTCTAGTCCCACGTGAGGGAGAGCTTGAATCTCAGCAGGCATAGTGCGTGGTCCCTCAGGGATTGAAGCTGCTGCCCCCCAAGGGTCACTGCAGGTGCCCACTCACCAGTAAAGGGGAAAAACTACTCTATCCCTTTTCTCCAGCTCTGCCCACACCTTTGCTATGTGGGGAAGGAAGTCCGGGTTTAGTAAGCTCTCCACTTTCGTTAGAGTTGTCCTGTCCTATACAGAGATGTGCAGGAAACTTCAAGTATAAATCCCCACATAAGGACCGTACACCATATAAAAAATAGCTCCCCGAGGGTATCAGTGCAGAAAGCTCCACGTACAGCACCGCTGGCCTCAGAATCAGTGGATCATCCCTGTCTGTGTCTAGGACCAGGTAGCATCCAGAGTCAGTACTTCTGTTTAAAAAAAAAAAAAAAGGCAAAGTAGTTCTGACACTGGGTCTGAATGTGTAAAGGCTGAGCCCTGATATATCACACCGCACCCAGAGAGTAGAGTTTTGCACACACTGAAATGCACACGTCAGAGAACAGCTGGGTGGGGGTGGAGGGGGCTGTCAGACCCATCACAGTAGTATGAAACCCTAGGATATGAAGCTAATCCCAGAGGCACCAGTGCTGGTGGGGAAAGGGTAACAAATATTCACAGCAGCGTTGGCCCCTTGGTGGCACAGGAAGCAGAAGCACAGAACTGTCACCCGTCCAGCTTCCTTGGCGCGTGTGCTGCGGGCAGGCTGGGAGGTGAGCCTGCAGTTGCAGAGCAGTGGTTCATGTAGCTGGCCATGATGAAGGTAGCCTCTGCGATCTGAGGAGGTCAGAGGATGAAGGAATTGAACTAGCCTTGACTTGCTGGCTTGCTTTCTACTGTTACTCTGGGTACATAACCTTCCTAGGCTTTGGTTCTTTGTCAAACTCCCTACCTGGAAGAAAATGTCCAAAGGGGATCACTGCCAGGAGGGTTAGGGGCACACTGAAATGAGCCCCTGTGGGTCTGGAGGTCCTTCAGGATGGACAGGGCCCTCCCAAGAGATGCAAGGCCAATGTTCTGCTCACTGTCCCTGCAGCCGGGCAAGAGTACCCTGGGGACGGGGTTCTATATCCTCTCCCTTGGCAAGGGTGGTATTAAGAGGAAGAGTGCAGCAAACTCCAGCTTCAGGATTAAAAGTGCAGAACAACGTGGGTTCTGTTTCCTCTCGGGAGGAGTCCAGGAAGAGTAAGCCGCCACTTATGTTTCTGCGCCCTGTAACTTATTTTTGCGGGTCAGTGTTTCTTCTGCTTAGTGGCAACAGCACCTTAAAAGTGAAAGAGGTCTTTTGCTGGCTTCACCACAAGGAGGGAGCGGCACCCTGGAGACTGACTAGTGTGGCGGCAGCAGGACCCGAGCCAAAGAGGAGAGCACCTGAAAGAGGACCTGCCCTACTCGGGGCCTGCAGCAGGGAGGACAAGCTAGTGGGCGCCGACTCAGGCCCGCATGGTACTGGGCTCTAGAGAATTACCGAAGAGCAGAGTCGTGGCTGGACCAGCGTCAACGCCCTCCCAGCCCCGCTTTCCCTGCCAGCTCAGCAGTGGCAATGAGATGCATCACTCCCTGAATCCTTTCGAATGCTGATTACACATAAAGCCAAAAATTGTACCGGGGCAGGGCTACTCTGTGTCCTACCGTGACCCGTTTCCTCTCTAAGCCCTGCGCTCACCCCATATCACACCAGAGTGAAACATAGCAGTGGTCAGACTCACCTTGGGAGCAGCCATTCTGAAGATCAGCTTGTCAATGTGGCCTTTTCCAGAGCTCTGGTCTGGAATGGATCTAATCACAAGCATGAAGTCATCCCTGCAGCCGCCGAAGGTCGTGACGGAAGAGTAGGGGTAAGTGGCGCGCACTTGCTGTGGAAAGGAGCCAGTGAGCTCTAGGGAGACTGCACCTATCTCTTCTAGGCACAGGTAGCCTTAACCCAGAAGGGCAGACGCCGAAGTGGTCATGATTTAGAGATCCAGATCTTAAAGATCTATAGGCTGCCTTTAGACTGCGGTTCAGCACTGCGTGGCAGGGGGTGAAGTAGTTGTCTTCTCCCTGGACTCAAAGGCCTGGCCCAGACAAGACAGAGCTCGGAAGGAAGAAGGGTCAGAACCAGCCCTCCCCTCCATACCATAGTGTGGTGGTTCAGGATGCTGACACCATCTTCATTCACAGCAATCCACACTGGAGTGCTCTCTTTGGATGACAGCTGGGCAGGCTGCAGCAACAGGAGAACCCCATCAGACACATCCACAGAGATTCTGAACTGTGTTCCTTTCTGAGGATGGCGGTACAGGGACCTGCTAAGCACTGACTTTCAACTATCTCCTCTTGGGAGACACCGAAAATGGCACTTGGACAGCAACCAATGAATAGGCAGGGCTGCTGCGATAGGAGGCATCTGGCCTTGGAGCTCTGGCCTCCTACTGACCATCCCAAAGGTGGAGATCATATCCTGTTGGGTGGAAAGCCAAGGGCTGCAGAACAGACACCATCCCCCAGGACTTTGCTGTCTGCGTGGGGAACAGGCTGTTTACCTCTGGCTCTCACGAACACTAGTTTACCCAGTCATTCTTCCTAGGGGCTACAATAAAATAAAAAGCAAAAATGCAACTTCATGGGCTTTGGGCTGTACCAGTGAGTTTGACTACATGGTGTACCTTTCATGCATGTTTTCGCTGCCGGTGACTATAAGAGGGTAATTCACAAGATCTCCCTCTCCTACCCAAAAGGCCAGAAGGGTTGTCACCTTTTTCAAAGCTTTTTCCAACCTCCCAGACCAAGTGGGCCCCCATTATATGCCTTTATAACACTTCTGTATTTTCCTTTACAGTACTTGTGACCACTTGTTACAAAACACTGGTAAGTAGGTGGGTGGAGAGAAAAACTACGTATGTATATGATTATCTTATATCTCCCACCCAAGGGGAAGCTTCTTGAAGGCTAGGACTAGGTCTGATTTGTCCACTTTTTACAGCCTGAAACAACTACCACTAGACACAGGAGCCCAACAACTGTTTGTTGGATGAATGAGTCAGTGTCCATTTTCTGATCTGTAGCTTCTGTGAATGTTCTGATATTCCGCTTACTGTCTGATTACAATACAATGCCTGATCACAGGATAATGGCTGGTTACTTATAAAGCTCATGCACACCAGACCCCGGTGAGGAAAGTTCCAGCTGAAATTAATGTTGGCCTCCTGGCCTTCACACACAGATGAAACTGTTGCCTGAGTAGTTCTAAGGTAGCCATCAATTTCATCACTGCTAAACCAGTAGAAGTGTATTCATGCAGGTTATACACTGTTCTTTCAAACTTTACAAAAACAGTACGGGGGTATTATTTTCAGATCTCTGTGTGAATTCCTTGACCCTGTCTTTTCTTTCAGGAGTAGTGCTGAGAAGTCAATAAAGAAACAAAGATGAACAATGAATCACACCTCTTCTCAGGAGTAAGCCAGAAACGGGTGGAGGGATGGTGACCCCTAGTGGTGGTTAGAGTGCCGGTGCGGGCTGCAGGTCTGGCGCACAGCTGACCAGATGGGGAAGGCAGCTCCAGAAAAAACCTACCTAGGGCGCTCCTGAGGGTGTTGGCTGCTCCTTTCACTGGCACTTACCTGAGCTGCAAAGAGCTTAGCACCAAACAAAGGCCATTTCCGGGCCACGGTCAGGTAGGTGCGGGTGTACTCTGCCAGGGAACGGCCTTGCAGTGATGCCCACCTTGTGGCCAGTGTATTTGCCAGGAGCCTGGTTTGCATGGGTGGAGAGAAATGATGCCGGTCAAGGGCCACCATGTTTCCATCATGGCTCTGAGGTCTCCCCCCTGTGGCTCCCTGCAAGGCCGTGCAGCCCACCTACCTCAGCTGTTCAGGAGTGGCGCCGAGTCTGTAGTGCCGTGGGTAGAACCTGTCTAGGACCTGCTGGAGGAGATGCTGTGCCTTGGAAGGAGGTGTGCCCCCCGGGCCTGGCAGGAGAGGCTTCTCCATGTCCCCGTATTCTATCTGCAGGAGAAGCACACGAGACATCAAGAGTCTGAGGTGGGTGGGGCCAGGTGTGCGCCGAGGCGAACTAAACCCCTCATCATTTTACAAGTGGACAGTGCGAAAACCCTCATGAACAGACCCTTTCACTCAAGTTTCACAGGCACTAGAGGAACAGCAGTAGAGAACTCTCATTCTGTAGCTAAGCGCCTTATTCAAAGACAGTGGCAGAAGGAAAGCAATGTGGAAATTCCAGCTTCCAATCTAAAATACGGGCTACAGATTGAAGATGCTATGGGTCAGCTCCTACAGGACTGCGGTGTTTGGAGTCAGGTACTTCAAAGCCCAGCTCTGCCCTTTACGAGCTCAGTGAGCTTCAATTTCCCCATTTCTGGGAGGGTGAGAACTACATGGGATGTACATCTAGAATGCTTAGCACAGGCTATATTCATCTTCATGTTCACAGTAAAAAGATCAGCAGTTATTCCCCTTTCCACTTCAGCACGTCCATCCAGGCTCCACGGCAACCGTGAAGGTATCTCGGATCCCTCTGGCCAGAGGGCCTCCCGGAACTAAAGAAGAGTTCAGGGCTGAATGTGTTCCTGTTAATTCTCCTGATAGTTTTGGATGGCTATGAATTTCAGCACATATATCATGGGACACGTATTAGCCAAGTACCAGACTTAGTACAACTCCGGGAGGCAGCTAGGGAAGCGTTTGCCTTTTAAGTGGACAGACAGCGCACACAAGTGAAGTGGCCTGGCCAAGATCGCACACCGCAAAGCAGCTAGGACTCCAGCCCATCTCTTGGATTCCCAGTGCAGCCTTCTGCAGGCAGCCCGTCTGCAGTGGGTGAGAGGCTGTGCTGTGTTATCTGCTGCCTTCCACACCAGACATTTCCCCCGAGGCCTCTGATCTGCACACTCGCCCGTTCTCAGGCTGCATAGTGACTGCACCCAGCGGCCCCACGGCGGCATCCTGAGCCTCCTGCTTCCTTACCTGGGCCATCAGGCCAGCCATCTCAAGAGCCAGTTCCTTGCTGACCGGAAACCTCCCAGCCACTATCTCGCCATTGGTTTGATAGGCGAGCAGCAGCCGCTCTCGCTCTGTTTCCCCTTTGACTTGACTCCGGAAGTGCAGCCTGCGGGAACAGAGCGGGAGGCCAGGTCTCAGCAGGGACCTCAGTGAGGACGAAGCTTTCTCTGGATCTGTTAAACATTTTCCCCCATTCTGATACCCTCCCTTCAACCCTCCTGCCCTCCCCATGGATCTGTTTTATCTTGATTTCCAAAAAAGAAACTACCCTTCAGACCATCTGTGACACGGTTTTCAGTGCCCCAGAAAGCTGTAACCCAGTATGATGCAGAGCAGACGCAAGGCTCACAGCAGCAGGGGTTAATTCTGAACACAACACTGAACTGACTGGATTTGGCAAAGGAAATGCAGTGCATGGAATCAGGTGAGTTAAGATTCCAAGAGACCAATGGAAAGGACTTTCCTGGAGACATACTGGAATAGAATTTTCTTAAATTGATAGAAGGCATGTCTGCTTATATATTTCCTCGAACTGGTAGCAGAGCTATTTATTCTTCAGCCTTAAATATCTGGTACTCAAATAAAACTGCATTTCTATAATGTAACCCTTGCAGCCATGCCACGAGGTTGGTGTTTTTCTGGCAAGTGTGTGTGTGCACACGCGCATCTATGCACAAGCAGTGTGAGGACAGCTGCCAGCCCAGGTCCCAGCTAATGGCCATCAGGCAGGGTTGTATCTGTGGGTCCTTCTGCCCGTCCAAAAAGGCCACTCGGTCGGGAAGGAGATGAGCTGGCAGCCAGGGGCAGCCCTCCAGTCCGCCCAGCCCTGGGGAAGCGGCAGGACCTGTTCTTGTACAGCAGCTTCACGATGCGTGTTCCCCCCTCAGACTTTCCAGGGTGCAGCTCCTTCAGGGCTTGTTCCCACTTGGAGATGGCATCACAGATCTTGAAGAGGCAAAAGAGGAACATCAGAAAAGCCCCCCAGGAACACAATGACGTCCGCCAAGATTGGGCCGAGGCAGAGCTGCAGGTTCCTCCCAGCAGGAGCGGCCCCACTGGGCCCCACGCTGCCCGCACCAGCCGTGCCTGTGACTGGCAAACAAGGAAGTGGATAGCAGCCTGGGGAGGGCGGGCAGCACACAAGGAAAGCTCTCCCACTGGCCCTAAGGGGCAAGGGACCTCCCTGGAGCTCGGCAGCTCCAGTCAAAACCCACAGCTGCCAAACTCTGGCTGTATTTCCATTCCACCAACCGCACTCTCCTCTTTAGGTACAAAGGTCTACCACGTAACAAAGCCTCCCAGGTGCTAAATGTTTATGAGGAAGATGTGGCAGTTTTTTAGGCAATGATGAATGACCAGATGCCTTTATCTGCTGCTGTAAAGAAAGGGCTGGAGCCAAATAATACAGACCAAGTGGTGTAGCACGTTCCCACCAGCCTGTAACACCGGGCACTTGACCTGCAGATGCACTGTCGGAAGGACCTACCTCCTTCCATGGGACTGGGCCCATCAGCAAGGCAGAGGCCCTGGCAGACGGGGTGAGAGCGGGGTGCTAGTGCGCCACACAACAGCCCGCGGTCTAGGCACAGCACTGCCTGCCTGTCAGTGGGCAGGTATAACTGGTGACAGGCGTGGTGGGGCCTCCCTGTCCCTACACCAAGCTGGGAAGAGGCTCCTCCCTGGATGTTACGTGGCCACTCAAGGGAGACGGGCTGTGGGGATTTTGTGTGGATGCAGCTTTTCTCTGCCTGTGTGGCTGTATGTGAGGACGGCGCAGACACGCTAGTTGTCCACCTCTGGGCTCAGCGCCAGAGTGACTGCTGAACAGTCAGGGTCCCACTGGCCGGGCTCTGTCCCCACCACCCATCCGCTGAGCAGTGGGGAAGCCGTCACCTTGACCCTCCCCTGCAGGCAGTGCTCCAGGTCCCTGCCGGAGGGGTCATCTGTGAAGAGGGCAAAGCCTGAGTGGGACGGCTTCCTCATGCCCGTCTCCTGGTTCAGCCGCTGCAGGAACTCGTCCACTGTGGAGGAGCCATCAAAACCGACCACCTGCAGGAGAGAGGCGTTCGTTCTCACCCACAGCGAACTTCCGGGGAGCTTCCAGGGCTCGCGGAGGGGTCTGCATGCTGCGGGTGGAAAGGAGCAAGGGAAACGGAAGCCACAGCGGGCTCCACGTTGCTGTGCAGCGGGTGTGAGGCGGTGGAAGCTCGCGAGGCTTGCTGCCTGCACTGTCCCGCTCCTGGGGACTTCGGCTCACGCCACTTTCTCGTTCAGTGTCTCAGGTGCCCCGTCTAAGCAGTGAGTTCCGAAGATCTATTTCCAAGCATTCTGGTGATGTAAGCTCTTTCGTCCCTGTCCGCTGGCTCTAACTACCCCATTCCCATGCCATATCCTAGGCCCACTCCCTTGCCAGTCTGCCTATTAAGGAGGCTGAGCACCCCGCTGGCCCAGCAGCGTCCTCCAGAAAGAGACACCCGAAGACGCGGGGCCGGAGGCGTGCGCGGCCCCTCACCTGGTAGGTCCCGTTGGCGAAGTGCACAGGGATGCTGAAGGGCAAGGAGTGGTGGAAGGGGTTCCGCAGCAAGATAGACACCACCTCCATGTGCGACGGCCGGGCCTCCCGCTCTCCTGCCTGCAGGGTCCGCTCCACTGCCCGCTGGCAGTAGGTGGCGTACTGGCCGCTTTCATTTCTAACAAGACAGGCAGAGGAAGAAGGGAACCAGAACTCTGCTTGTCACTAACTCTTTGGTATCTGGGATGCCTTCCCAGACTTAGCCAGGACCAGAGGTGTGGCGGGCAGGTTGGGAGCGGAGCCCGAGGGGGCTGGTCTGGGGTGCTGTCCGCCAGGCCTGTCTGCGGCCGGTTACCGCAAGGGCTTTTCTCGTAGAAGCCAGCAGAGCATGCCACAAAGCAAACGTTTGGGGATAATCTGGGGGCAGTGTGGCCCAGGAGACCCCCGTAAGCCACCCACAGACAGACTGGTGTGCACAGAAGCCGAGGCACGCCCAGACCCCCAGCTATCCATTCGCTTTCACAGTAACGGGCGGAGCAGCCCTAAGCAAATTTCGGAGGGGAGGAGGGACCCGCCCATCCAGTCTCCCCTTAGCTGCCCTTCCTAAATCGTTCCAGTCACCCGTGCTGGCAGGGGAAAGTGGTCACTCACCTGGGATCCGCGTGGCGCTGGAGCTGCTGTTTGACATACCACAGGAAGTGCTGCTGAGGCAGGAAAAGCGGGGCACACAGAGCCAGGAGCTGCCAGCACTGCCGGGGGACACAGGGTGAGGGCTGGGTCTGCGGCACCCCTGCGCAGCCAGTCCCCGGCTATGGGGCCTTCAGCACTTCGTCCCCACACCACACCTTGACCCCTGAGTCCCGGACAAAGCCAGCCCCACAATGGCGATCGCAGTGCAACAGTGTCCAGCCAGGCAGCCGAGCTGAGGCAGCCTGGAACGAGGATGCTGGCCGCTGGCAGGTGCTCAGCTGTGCCGCCCCGGGGCTGCCCACCTGCATGAGGGAGGACTTCTGAGGCGGGCGGCAGCTGGTCTGCTTCATGAGCTGGCAGTAGATCTCGCTCTGCAGTTCCGGGTGAACGAGGCAGACCTGCAGCACCGTCTGCGCCAGGGACACGTGGTAATCCACCGAGGCGGCCTCCACAGGCACGTTGATGAAGAGCTGGCAGGACTGGGAGGGGAACCACATTGGGCCCAGGCAGGGACAGCCCCTTGGTATTGTCCTGATGGTGCAGTGACATCTCAGACCCCAGACGGAGCCTCAAGGCATGCTCCGGTTCACCAAGGGACAGCCCTTCCTAACAGGGAACGCTACTGATGTTTCTGCGGCTTTGAACAGGGACTACTTTCAGACAGAATCTTTCCATTACATAAGCAAGACATAAGCTTGTTTATATAAGCAAACTCACTTTTTAAAATATAGGAAATTTGTGTGGCACACAAAGAACATTCTCGAAGCCGTCAGAATCTCTGCGTCCCCAAAGCGGCGGAACCCTGGCCTCTTCTGTTCACTGCAGGAGGCAGGCAGCCTCAAGGGAGCGGTTTCCCGGCATTTCCTGACATCCCCGTCTCCTCCCTCCCCGCAGGAGGTTAATGGTCTTGCCATAGAGGAAGCCCTGGGGATCCTGTGGGACGTGCTCTGCCTCCCTCGCTTGATCCCTCTGTGAGCAGCCCCTAACCCCATGGGCGGTCTGCACCCACGTATCACCATGGGGGGCTCAGGCTGCTCCAGGCAGAGCCCGCGCCCACGCTGTGGGCACCAGCAGGTGGTGGACCTGGGCTGCACTCCCACTTTACCTTGAAGAGCTTGAGGGCCTCCGTCTGCAGGGCCTCGGAGGGCAGGGTGGTGAGGGAGGTGTACAGCCCGTCTTTGCTATAGCACAGAATGGGGTGCTTCCAGAGGGGGGAGTCTGCACAACACCAAGGAGCAACAGCGGTCACCGCACAGAGAACTCACCACGCACACTCCCACCCCAACTTTCATTTGTGGGAGGCCAGTGGTTGAGGCCTGGAGCTGTCAGGGTTCATCACCCACAGAGCACAGCATGTACAGGTGTGCGTGCGATTCGCACGTTCACAAGCTGCACAGGGAGGCAGCCGCCGCTCTGCGGTGCAGTGAGCAAGGCTGTGTGTGCCCGAGCGCACGCGCACTGGAGGCCTCTTCTTCACACGGGCAGACCAGGCTTCAGAGCGCGTGGGTCGGGCTGCAACAGAAGCCTCAGGGAGAAGTGAAGGGGGCGTGGGGTGGGCCGCTGCTTTAGTTGCTGAAGGACCCGGGAACCAGCGGCCAAACGCAGACCCCCGAAAGCTCAGGTTAGCCCGATCCAAGCTTAGGCTTCACTTATTGATTAACAAACCCTAAGTACAGATTAACCAGCTACCCGCTTTCCTCAGTCCTCTGCCCAGCCGGCAAACTGCAGACTGAACAGAGCAAAGCATTTACCCAGGTCCCTGGCGAGTCTGCGTCCCAGATGGCACGGTTACCTCAGGGTGCTGCCAGAGAGCGAGGGGCCCTGGGGTGTGTGGCGGGCTCTGGCCTTTGGTTTTGATGTGTTTAACACAGCTTTGGGGCACAGCAGTGCACTCTGAGGGTTCCTGACCAGTCAGCCAGCACCCAGCCGCCACCCCCAACCACGCGGCGGTGGCCCCCCTCGCCTTACCTGGGTCTCCTCCCTCAGCATCCATCAGTTTCCCAATGAGCTGCTCATAGGCGGTGCCCACCTTGACGCTGCTGCCGCCCGCCGCCACCGTGAGGTGGTACAGCCACGTGTCCTGGAAGCGGGCAGAAAGCTTCGAGATGCGGCCAGCGTGGGAAGCGGGAGGCGAGAGTTCCCGGGAGCGCCCCCACGACGGGGCTCGGCTAGTCTGGGGGCAGGCGTCGAGGCCAGCGGTCTCGAAGGGGAAGGACTGGGGCCCCGGTGAAGGGGAGACGGTCCCTGGGAGTGAGTTCCACCGAAAGGAAAATTTCCACTCAGAGACTATTAACTGCCGAAGTGTCCGAGCGGAAATGAGCCAAGGCTGGGGAAGCTCAGGGGAGAGAGAGGAGACCGGGATCACGGGCCGAGCACATGGAAACCCGGTCCCTCCCTCACCTTTTCATGCTTGGTGCCAATGAGGAGGTAGGTGGGGCTGTGCTCTGGCGGGTGGATCACCAGCGTGCAGTGGGAGGAAAGCAACCGCCGGGTCCCTCCGGCCTCGTAGTCCTCGTCCGAGTCGCAGGACCGGTCTACTTCCTCTATGTGCGCGTCTCGCACCGGCAGGCAGCCCAGGGGTCGCTGCAGACATGAGCCTTGCGTGACCCAGAGGCCAGGGTGGGCGAGCCTCTGCTCCCTGAGGCTCTGGGCTCCGGAGGGCTGGGGTCGTGGATGTGGACCGACGGCAGGATGGGGAGGAGGAGTGGAGGGAGGCTCGCTTGGAGCAGCACCCACAGACCCTTCGGCTCTGCGAGGCCCAGCTCGTGGGACTTGGCGGGGCAGAGAGCGACCCTGGGCCCTGCGGTCGGCCGTGGAGCCCAGTAGTGTGCTCTGGGAGAGGGGAGAGCGGGTGCAGCGGGGCGGTCAGGGAAGTACCTTGTCCTCGTGGCTCCGGTAGTAGTAGAAGGTCTTCCCAACAAGAGCACACCAGACCAGCTTGGAGTGGCCGTGCTTCACCTGTAACACAGAAATGACCGGACTTTATCGGAACCGGGGGCCTGGATATAAATTCAGGACTGGCCAAGAGAAGCTGGGGAAGGCAGTCAAACTCCAGTCCTTAGTGGAGAGCCATTCAGACTCCCTCGAATCACACCACTGCCACGGACGGGCTGCCCAGGGACCTCGCGGGAGCCCCAAGCGTGGAGCGGGACACTCAGAGGCACAGCTGTCCGGTACCACAAGGCAGGAAACGGGTGTGGCAGGCTGCAGCCCTCAGGAACCAGAGACCACGAGGGAGCGGGCACTGCGCACAGGTGGGGGACACTGCTGTGGGCAGGCCGAGGGGCACGCAGGGGCGGAGCGCCCGGGCCTGAGCACCAGCTGCTGGGCGGATGCTGCCTCAGTTCTGAGGGTATCTGGTGTCCTTGCTTGGGGTTAATAAATGTTCTCTGCACTCTGCTGCCAGAAAAAGCCTAGCTAAAACGTCTTTTGGGCAGGCCCTGGCCACTCTAACTCTCTGAATGGCGAGCCATCCCCCCTCCCCAGGCCTCTTCTTCACACTGCTAATCCTGAGACACGGTGGGTGCACGGAGTAACCCCCAAAGACCACAGAGCGAGTAAAACATTCTTCCTTCCAATCTTTTTTTAAAAATTAATTACATTTATTGAGGCTAAGTATGGTGGCACACGCCTGTAATCCCAGCACCCAGGAGGCTGAGGCAGGAGGATCACTAATGAGTTTGAGGCCAGCCTGGGCTACAAAGTGAGCTCAAGGCAAACCTGAACTGCACAGTGAAACCCTGTCTCAAAAAAGATTAAAAAAAGACCAACGAAACGTTTATTGGTCCATTTTGGGTACACATAATGATCACATTCCTCTTATCTTTCCCTCCAATCTTGAGAACAGTTGTTCTCACCACCCTGACCTCTGTTTCTGGGGAATTAGCACCATCACCTTTTCTGAGAGGCAAGCAGTTAGCCACTACAAGGCAGCTCCTGGGGAGAGCAGCCGAGGGTAAGCAGGGAGCCCAGCACTCCACACCTGGCTCCCCTGACTCCCCACCCCCGGTCCTCCTCACCCAGCTGACCCGATACCTTTGTCAGCCAGCCCTTCACAGCAGGCTTGGTGCCCCCTTGAGGCAAGGCCGGCGGCCCCGTGGCCTGCACCTTCAGCAGGCTCTGCAGGGCCCGGATCCACTCCTCCAGCAGGCTGGGCGAGTCGGCCATCAGGTAGTAGGTTTTCTTCTCAGAGATGAGCTACGGAGGGCGAGGTGCTGGAGTCAGTGGCAAGATAGGCTCTCGGGTGGTTCCGCTTCCTGAGCCCACTGGACCTTCCTTCTTTGTAATCCACTGTTACCTCCCTTTTTCCCTCCTCATCTTTTCCTCCCTGTCTTTCTTTTTCCCATCCCTCCTACTTTCATTTGAATCGTTTGTCACATTCTGCTCCTTTCTAATACCCAAAATCTTTGAAGTCTTTCACTCATGTTCATTCTGCCATACTTTTGTCTTAATCATGGTCATACCCAAAACCAGTGCCTTTTCTGCTAAAAATCACTCCAAAATATTAGCTGTGCTAGGTGTGGTGGCACAAGCCCGCAGTCCAGCACTAGGGGAGGTCGAGGCAGGAGGATCCTAAGTTTGAGCCTAGCTTGAACAACTTAGCAATTCCGTGAGACCCTGTCTCAAAATAAAAAACGGGCTAGAGATATAGCTCAAAGCAAAGGTCCTGGGACCAAACCTCAGTACCAAAATGAAACAAAACAAACCCAGCAGCCAGAGCAGGCTCACCTGGAACGTCTGTGCACCCTCCCCTCGAACAACTTGGCAATGACAGTTCAGGTCCACCTGACCTTGAGGTTTCAGGATAACATCATTCTGTAAAGAAAGGAACAGGAAGGAAGCGCTGTAGAGGCTTCCTACAGTGCTGTAGAGGTGATGGTGTAGTAACGTGCTCATAGCACGTTACTTACCCTTCATAGCTTACTCCAGGTCATAAGGGAAAGGGTCCCATGCATCCCAGGCTCTGTACAACGGGTAACTTATCCTAGATTCAGATTCTAGCTAAATGGAGCCATAAATAGGATCACGGGTCCTTCTGACACAGGTCTCAGAAAGGATAGCATGAGCCTTTCAAGTTATGTCAAAGGCCACCTGGTTATTACTGACCTACAAGCCCTTAAATTCTTGCTACTAAGCAAGGCATGATGACACATGCCTCCAGTCCTAGTTATTCAGAAGGCTGGTCCCAGGGGTTCAAGACCAGCCTAGGCAGCATAGTAAGACATCTCAAACAAACAAACAGTCTTTCTATTACATCCTTATATTAAGAATAGCATATAAGTAGCTTGAATATCACATTACCCTTTCTAGGGTCAGACATTACTAATCGATCACAGCATGCTTCTCTTGGAGGAATATAGACCCAGAATCCCTAACATGGACTTGGAAACAGCTGCTACCACCCAGCTGGAGTTGCACAAGAGGTGAGGCCCCTTTTGCCTTCTTGACAACATTAAAATTGGCTCTCAGCCAGGTGTGGTGGTGCACGCCTATAATCTAAGCTTTTGGGAGGCTGAGTCAGGAGGATCACAGTGAGTACAAGGCCAGCCTGACCTGAACTATGTAGTAAGATCAAGGCCAGCCTGAGCTATATAGTGAGATCCTGTCTCAAAAAACCTAAATAAATAAATGAACAAACAATAAAACATTAATACTGGCTCTCTAGGAAGGTCCTGGCAAGTGAGTTCCCAACACCTAATGTTCCTTAATTCCAGACAGTGGAAGGAGGTGGTGGAGGAGGCACCGGGTTTGTCAGAATAATTGGCAGGAGGTGAAAGCAACCTGGGAACAGTGCTTGCTTTGGAGCCACCTGAAGCAGTGCACATCTATAATACTAGCTACTTCAGAGGCTGAGGCAGAAGGACTGCAAGTTCAGCACCAGCCTGGGCAATTTAGAGAGATCCGTCTCAAAAAATAAAAGGGAGGGGCTGGGGATGTAGCTCAGTGGCACAGTGCCTGCCTGGCAAGCACAAGGTCCTGAGTTTGATTCCTGGTACCAAAAAAATAAATAAATAAAATAAAAAGGAAAACCAGACATGGTGGCGCATGGCTGTAATCCCAGCACTCAGGAGGCTGAGGCAGGAGGATCACAGTGTGTTAGAGACCAGCCTGGGTTACATAGTGAGTTCAAGGACAGCTTGAACTACACAGCAAGACTCTGTGTCAAAAAACCAAATAATTAAATGATAGACAGACAGGTAGACAGGCAGACAGAGATAATAAAAGGGGGTGGGGATGTAGCTCAGTAGTAGAGTACCCTTGGTGTGATCCCCAGGAAAGGAAAAAGGAAGGAGAGAGGGAGAGACAGAGAGGAAGACACACCCGCTTCTGAGAGAAGAATCTGCTAAGCAGCTGGCCTAGAGCTGCCCAGCCTGTCACACGGTCCGCAGGCGGCAGCCTCGGCGTCCTCAGGGTTGCTCAGAGCCCCGGGCACCGGTCAGGTGGCCTCTCCCCAGCGACCTCTGGCCTCTGTCAGGCCACTTCCCCGCCTCCCCAAGCCCCTCTGACCACAGTCTCGGGGAGGCCCTCACCGGGGACTTGTAGTACATAATCTGTCCCTGCCTCAGGACAAACCAGCGCCTCTTCCACGTCTTCACGCGGCTCCCCATCTTCAGCAGGTAACCCGACTTCTCCAGGGAGTCCTGAGGGGTGCAGGGGCACAGGAGGAGTCACTTGGCGCTCCTGGACGTCACGCCGCCGGCCTGGGCCGAGCGCCCGTTACATGTGTTATTTTCTGGGCCCGTGCCCTGCTGAGGGTTCAGCGGACTAAGGCCTCCGCGGACCGAGGGCTCCCGTGGTGGTGGAGAAGACAACTCCCGGCCACCAGGAGGAGGCGGGGGCTGGGCTCCATCGGGGGACCGTGAGCCCTGGTGAGGACGGGGTACGGGAAAGAGCCAGCCCTCAAACGGCCTTGGAGAGAGATGCGCCAGAGGAGGCCCCGTGGACCGAGGGTCGGCGGGGAGACGGGGATGGGGACAGGCAGGTCCGTGGGCAGCAGGCACACAGCTGGTGAAGACAGGGCGGCGGGCTGGGACGGTGCCAGGCTGAGTTCACTGCTGCCCTGGCGTGGGATGCACGTGGCCCTGCCTCAGGCCTCGCAGGGGGCCTGTGTGTGCCTGCCGCTGTCTAGGGCCAGCCCCGCGCCCCCCTAGCATCATCGGGCCCGCCCTGCGCTCCCCGCTCACCGCGCCCAGGCCCAGCCCCTCCGCCGAGTAGCAGGAGGTGCGCTGCATTTTGTGCTCAGGCTCTGAGTAGTCGCTGTCCAGCGAGCAGGCGTCCGGGGGAATGGCGTAGTCACCCTCGGAGCTCAGCGAGGACATGGAGACCCCTGGCCAGAGGACAAGGAGTCAAGGTCCCTCCGCTGCCCGACACTCACGGCCCAGGGGCTGCCAGGTCTTCCCCCCCAACCCTCGGGATCCCCGCGCCTGGGGCTGAGAATGGCTGGGGATGCTGGGAGCAGATCGAGCGGGCCCCTCCCCTCCCCTTCTGGGTACCTCTCTTGATGGCCCGGGGGCTGCCCAGTCCGCTGGTCTTCCTGCACTCCAAGCAGGGGACCGACATCCGGAAACTCGCCTGAGAGCTGCAGTCGTCGTCAGAGCCAGAGGACTCGTCCACGAAGGGCACACTGCTGATCTGTGTGGCCTTCTGCAAGACAAGACCCCACCTTGCCACAGCTCAGGCTGCAGAACAATCCCCCAGGTGCTCTGCCGCCGTGCCATCGCCCCGCTGGGGCACTGAACAGACCATGGTCCAAATGGTGCAAAGTCCCTCCTGCCTCACTCCAGGGTCCGGCCTCCACCACCCACACGTCACCCCCTGCGGTCCCCCAAAAGCTGTCCCATCCAGACTGAACACCTGCCCAATGTGGCCTCACTCCCTCCACTCTCGGGCCAGGGAACGGGACAGGGGCTTTGCAAAGGCTCATGGGATGTGGAAACAGGGAGGTAGCTTCCTGAACGGCCAACATCTGCAGAGACTGATTATGTCAACGCTGGTGACAGTATGAGGAAATGTGGGGGAAATGTCCTGTAGTGTGGCAAAGCATTGTTATTTATTTATTTGCTTTTTTAAAATGTGTGTGTTTTGGCCAAGGATGGTGGTGCATGCCTGTAATCTCAGCACTTTGGAGGCTGAGGCAGGAGGACTGACACAAGTTTAAGCAACTTGGGCTATATAACAAGACTCTGCCTGAAGGAAAAGAAAGAAAGAAAATAAAATATGAAGGACTGAGAGAATATAGCTCAGAACAAAGGCCCTGGGTTCAATCCCCAGCACTACAAAAAAAGAAAAGTATGCATTTTGTTTTGTTTAAAGATTTGTGTGTGTGGTGCTAGGAATCAAACACAGGGCCTCATGCACGTTAGGCAAGTGCTCTACCACTAAGCTACACCACAGCCCCAAAAGTTTTTTTTTTTTAGTACCGGGAATCAAACTCAGGACCTTGTGCTTACCAGGCCGGCGCTGTGCCGCTGAGCTATATCCCCAGCCCTCCCAAAGTGTTTCTGGAGAGTGATTTGGTATTATGTGCCAAAACCTACAACCCTCGTGTAATTCTCCCAGAAATTCCCTCACTGGTGTCCTAGAGAAGTATGTATACGTAAGTGCACAAGGGGGCATGTGCTCGATGATGTTCACGGCAACATCTATTTTAGGAGACAAGGACATAACCCTTTGTAAATCAGCGGGGGAGCACGGAGGGCAGTGCGGCGCCTCCACAGAGGGGGCCTGCAGGGCTGTGTGAGGCACGGGCACTCTCCCTCGAAAGAGCTGTCAGGAAGAGCACAGAACGGCCTCTATCATATGACCCCCCCTTTGCTTCCTGCGTAACTGGGGACTGGACCCAGGGCCCTTACACTGACCTACATCCCAGACATGCACTCATTCATTCATTTATTTAGAGACTAGGTCTTCTTTGTTACTAAATTTTTTTTTTTTTTTTTTTTGGTTTTTCTCTGGTACCGGGAACCGAACTCACGACCTTGCGCTTGCCAGGCAGGCGCTTTGCCGCTGAGCTAAATCCCCAGCCCCTCTTTGTTACTAAATTGCCCAGGCTGGGCTCAAACTTGTGATCCTACTCAGCCTCCCAGAATGCTGGGATTACAGGCATGTGGTGCTGTGCCTGGCATACGATGCCCTCTGTGTGTGACACGCGCACGCGCACACTCATACGTCTGCAGGAGAATGATGGAGAGTAAGGGTGAGAAGGAAGGGGCGAGAAAGGGAAGGATGAGAGCGCGCCTGTTTGTGTGCACGCATGCGTGCCACTTTTTGCAGCCGCATCAGAATGGGCCTTCACCAGGCCATTCCTGACAGCAATCCGGGGAGCGCCATACGCGAAGAAATTTCACTTTTGGTTTCTTATTTTTTCCTATGACAAGTTTTGCCAAGTGTTACTGTAGGGGTTCAAAAACCACTAACAAAGAGACAAAAATACGCGTGAAAACATGATGTGGCAATTATGCCTGACTTTTGCCTTAAAAAGTACAGCAATGTTATGAGACTATGTGTCTAAACATAAACACTTCGGGGAGAGCCCCTGCCTCGGGGCCTGGGGAGCGGGACAGACCGGGGAGACTGGACGGGAGAGGCAGGTGCGGGCTTAACCTTGAAGTTCTTCCTTTGCCCACATTCGCAAGGACTCAGGTTTCTAAGGCAGCACTTTTTTTTCTGTTTTTGTTTTTTTTGCCCGGTACCGGGAATCGAACTCACGACCTTGCACTTGCCAGGCAGGAGCTGTGCCACTGAGCTAAATCCCCAGCCCCATAAGGCAGGATTTTTACAACCGAAATGACAGACAGTAGAGGCGCCCCCTGGGCCCGCAAGCCCGCCCCGGGCAGCGCGCGCGGCGGTGTCTCACCCCCTGCAGTGCTGCGTAGACGGGCACGCTGACGTTCTTGCAGACAAGGCCGGAGAAAGGCCCAGGGCACACCAGGGCAGGCGGGCCGGAGGCTGGGGAGAAAGGCGGGTGAGGGGCTCCGCGGGCGGAACCCAGGAGCGGCCTGGCGGACGAGGCGGCGGCCCAGGGCTGCTCAGCTCTGCTCCGCCCTCGCCGTGACATGAAGGGCCGCAGCAGCCCACCGCACGGCGGCCCGGC